GAAATGTTATGAGATTTGTATGAATTCGAGGTGAATGTATAGTCGCCAGAGACAATCCAACCAAATTGAGTTTTTTGCAAATGTAGGCAATACTGCTTGCACAAGCTTTACTTGCCCCAACCAGATGAGCACGATCCCGAAGTGATCAGCACCATCAAAACTGTCGATTAGGATCCAGGTTCATTGAATGTTGGGTCTGCTAGTATCAGATTATGATGGGATATTTAAGTTGACGTGTTAATAAAGTTTGTGAGGTATTATGTTTGTAATTTTAGGAATAACTAAACATCTAAAAACTTGTTTTAAATTGGGCCTTGACGTGCTTGAACAGATACAACAGTTTGCTTATAAATATTTGTAGTTTTTTGCCTAACTTTTGTATTAGAATCATTGTATTGGAGTTGTACTTATATTTATTTTTTAACACATTTCCTCAGAGATAAAACTTGAACTCACTACCGCTATCATAACAATATATTCGACAAAGACAATACATTTCACGATTATCAAATATGTCTACCAGGGCAGTTGACAATAAGACAATGCTTGGTAGAATCATTATCTGCAATTAAACGATTTGTGCTAATTTCACGGAGAATCGGAAACTTTCAGTTAGAATTGTTAGCATTAGGATTGAAATTAGGATTGTCTTGCCGATGCATTTCTACTAGATGAATTATGATTATTCGACTTAGAATAATGTATGGTTAATATTAATTTTGAAACCAAAGTGTAATAAAGTATTATGTTTATTTGTTGCATTTTTCTGCAGTGCATAGAACGACACTCGGTTTAGTTGATGATTATTTCGCAAATAATTGATACACAGTTTCAATTTTTTGAACTTCAGCTAGCCTAGAGTTTGAACTTAGCGCGATAAAGGATTTGCAGTTATAAATAGTATGATCTTTATTGCAAAAATAACAAGTTGGAGAATTTACTTGAAAATAGCTCTCTTACATTTTGTTTTTCCTTATTTCCTTGAATATTTAAAGTTTCAGAGAATTCTGCATTTTTCGGACAGAAAATTGCAATAATATTTCTCTCGTTACTGTGTCATGTTTGGCATATTTCACACTCCCATTCACGACAATAGTTATTGAATCCAGTTTTGTGGAAAATTAAATGAATATTAATGCATCCAGGAATCTACAGGTTCTTCTAGAATTGTAAGGCCTCTTCAATGCGTTCATGTCAATCTATTAATGTTTCTTAATTCTAGATGGCATTCTATTTCTAGCCCAGGTTTTGTCTCAAATAAAGCCTTTATATGATTTTTCTTCAATAAAGGTTTGCTTTCATAACGTTGAATAAGTAGTATTCCATGTACATAATAATTGTTTGCTGAGACTTCAAGCGATTTTATATAAATCCGCTGCTTGAGCCTGTAACGATAAGCGCAAGTAATGGAATTTATTAATAGATTTGTTATTATGAATTAATGATGAAAAGTGTACTTTAAAGTATAAAAACTGATCGAATTATTCCAATCGAAGTATTGGTAATAAATATAGAAGGGTAACTTAAAGTGTTGTGTTGCATTTGAAATATTAGAATTGCTAGAGATTGATATATTATCTACATTTTGATCGTCAGAGGTTATTTAAAATATTTGATCTATAGACGTCACTGATGATAATGGTCTTCGAACTCTAGACGTTCGTTTTGATTTACCGTATCATTGCTGTCTTCTAAACATTCTAATTGATGTTTGAATTATCATCAACGCTTGAAAATAGAGGTTCAATTTTGATAAACTAACTACAAGTTGGAGTAAAGTCAGGATTATTTTTTGATTTTTTCTTTAATCTAAATAATTTTTAAATTTGTTATCTGAGATTTATAATTTCACGAGCGATATGAGCTTTTTAAGTTCAGAAGCAAGCTCCTTGTTTGGCATTTTGGAATGATTATATAGTGTTCTATTTGTTACTTAATAAAATTGACCTTATATATTTGTGAATGTACAATAGAAGGAAGAGCGTAGAAGTGGAAATGAAAGTAATAATGGTAAAAATAAATAGATTCAAATGTAGTGTTATATTATAACCAATTTAACGAAATGGTTAAATTGTATAGATCAATATTCAATACTGTACTCTATATAAGTATTAAAATATGTGACATGAAAATAATTCAATGAATGTAACGTAAATTCAGCTAAAATATGGTTTATTTTATTGTACGTAGTGTATAAAAATTGATTGAGATCTTTTCAAGAATGACATTAAATAATAAAATCAAGTCGAAACAGGATAAAAATCATAGAGGAGTACGTAAATGAACTGCTAATTACTGACCTTCTCAACAATTGTTGGTGTGATCTGCTCATAATCGTCGCAAATGCCGGTCATGCCGGTAGAACATTTTTCGGTTTCCCAGTTTACCACGTTAAACTTATTATATTATTGCACTAGTTATTTGCTCTCATGGAGGGACCAAATTTATTATGTTATGAATTATTTATACATATTAATTATTCCATAAACTTTAAATTGATAGATTAAACGTTATAAAGTATAAAAACTGAATTTACAATTGCTACTGAAAATGAATAAAATAGTCTTTCATTCAAGCTGATTGTCGAATCTCGAATGCTAAAACTATGAACGTATAAATAAAGATCTTTATTTATACGTCCATGGCTAAAACTAGTTGTCGGTCGAAGGTCAACGTCGTGACATACACATGGTGGCTACACGGGGTAGAGGGGTCACAGTTAATCGGTGTATTGAGACAACTGCTATACAGGGGTCGATCAACAGTTTAAACAAGTGTGATGTACAATTTTATGTTTATCATCATCATCTTTGGCTCTACAACACTGGGTGGGTCTTGGCCTGTTCAAAAATTAGTCTCCATTCCCCACTATCTTTCGCCCTCGTTTTCCAAGTTTTGACCCCCAGATTCCTTAAGTCATCTTCGACTTGAGTTTTAAGTCTAGATCTTGGCCTGCCTCTCTGCCTGATTCCTACTGGCTCTTGATTCAATATCTGCATTTTCTATATGGTTGGATGGGCCACAATTTTGAACTGACATGTCCCCTGTAGATGCTCTATGGAAGCGAAGTACTGGGCAAGCTTTTAATTATTTAATAACTGTGCTCGACTATCTGGCCATTTTTTGTGATCAAAAATTATAAAAATTATACAAATCATGTGTTTTTGTTGCTCTGGTGTAAAATTCTTCTAAATAATCTGCTTTTATTCCGGACTCCATTTATTATTGACACATTCATATCATATTTTATACCCATTTTAAAGTAGACACCGACTTTATTATCATATATTGCCATTATTGCTGCTGAGTTCCCGTTTCTGGGATGACTGTATTGCTATAGAGTATAGTGTACATGTATCGCATTACATATAAACGTTTGATTAAAACTCAACAATTATACTTGAGATATCATGCGTCAGAAAAAATCACTAGCAGGTGAGCTTCCATCTTGAAAAATACAACCTCTTCATGCCATGACCTGACAGTAATATTCTCATGTTAAGCAGTTTCTAAAGTAATATCATGGAAAAAAAACAGGAAAATAACCTACTTCTGATATTTTAATGATCCACGACATTAGGTTAAGTATTCTGATTCTGTTTTGTATTCATCTCCTTATTAAATACAAAAATTTCTGATTTTTAATATGTTTATGTTAATTTAAAAAAGATATCAATCAACTATGTGATTTATAAGAAATTAATAATTGGTATCTTACTAATAACTGGTTTATTCTCGTTTTTTTAACTTCTTTTTTAATATGGGTAACCTAGATCCATACTCAAATTCTGCTCAAGGGAAATTTGCACTGACAGAATATTGGTCTCAGTTACACCAATAATTATAGCCAGCTTCTTTGTTTTTTCTCTTTCTTTTTACGCTAACCATCTACGTCTCTTTTTAGGACTATACTTTCAAATCGTTCCATTGAACCTCCCATATGTTTATATTTTATCATGCCGCTGTATTACCTATTTGAGATCAATTCCAATGCTACTATTTTTAATATATGATTTGAATGCTCACTCTATTCTAACATTTAACGACCCTTGATGTTTCACCTAAAAAATACTGATCGCATTCAACAACGGATATTTTATAAATCATTAATTTCTCTTGATTCTTTCCTGTACAGTTGTTCGGTTTAGATTTTAGATATAAATAACTGTTCAATGTGTTTTGTTCTTTGAATGTTGGTTGATATGTAGCAAGTTTCTTTTCTTTTCTTTTTAATTTGTTCTGATAATCCACTTTTATGTATGGTATATGGTTCATTTTCCTCATATTATTCCTTGTGTACTGTCTGTAGGATCTCGTTCCAAGTTTGTTTCTGTTTCTATGTCGGGTCAAGTTGTTGAAAATTCCTTATTTATAAAACTAAAAACAGGATAATCATTTTTTTTAATAAAACACTTATCGTTAACACAGAATGGTTTTCAAGTCTAAAGTTAATTTCATGTAATCGAATTAGAAACCTATCTTTACAATATAAAGTCCGTCCCAGGAACAGCAACATAACGTCAATCTATTGACAATTTTCATTTTACAAGTCCTCTCGCTTTTAAAATGTATAATATTATTTTCGAATTTGTCAATATACATGAGTCAGATAAATTTAAATTATTAGAATGATGCACCAAGTAACAAAAAACTAAATTTGTTTTAATTAATTTAATTTTTTGTATTTTGGTAACGATTTCTGAAGTGCAAAATGGATACATCAATAAACTTATTTTAAACTTTAATTGTGTTTAGTTTGTTATTGTTATTAAAGGTTCCTAAAGTTTTAAAAATATCCCTACTTTCGCGGTTTTTATTCTCGGAAGTATTTATGTATGTGTTTCCGTTTGTTTCCTTACCGTTAATTTTTTTGTAGTTATTTTTTGCTTAGATCTGGTTCTTGTACTTTTGTACTCTAAATGTACTTTAGATGTACTATCTAAATGTACTTTTCTTGTTTTGCTTCTCGTAGTCATGAGTTTATTATTTTTTATTTATAGGGTATTGGGCGATATAAATTTTTTGCAAACACTTAAAGATTTTGACAAAGACAATATCAAGCCAGATGCTATTGCCAAATTGAGAAAGGAATATATACCTCACAAAAGACATTTAAAACCGGCTGTAAGTAAGCATTAGGCCTCACAGTTGCAGTCTGTGGGATTTATGCAAATGGATCATAGCTATGGATATGTATGAAAAAGTATATAAGGTAAATAGATTATATAAACTTAATGTCGAACTTTTTTTTAAACAATTTGTACTTATATAACATATAAGACCTTAAGTATATACACTTATACTCCTATACTGCACTCTTACTATAATCATCATCAATTGGCCTATGTTTGTCCACTGCTGAACGTAGGCCTCCCGTAAAATTTTCCACCTATTTCTGTCTTGTGCTTACTATAATGCATTCTCTTTAAACATAAACACATTAATACATATTTTGCGTTTATTATACGGGGTGTTAGAAAAAGGTAGGTCATTAATTAAATCGCGTATTCTGAGGCCAAAAATACTTCGATTGAACCTAACTTACCTTTGTACAGATGTGCAAGTAAAATCAGTTACAGCCCTTTGAAGTTACAATTTGAACATAGATTTTTTCCAATTTATCCATAAACTGTTAAATGATTATTTGTATTGGCATGTGGCCCGTTTAATATGGCAGGAATATTTAAAAAAACATAAAAGTAAAATTTTTACCTCCCATAAAAATTTTATGATGGCGTTGGTCCCTTAAATCAACCCGACTGTTTGTATACGTTTCTATTAAATTATTATTGTTGCAACATTAGTTAAACACAATGTTTTTAAAACTTCTTTGCCTCTTTGTACTTTTTCGATAAGCCAGTTTTTATGGATGATGCGTGCTTCACTTTTATAACATGTTTCACAATTTCATGGGATACCCCTAGACAAAACGTAAAATATAAATAAATTTTTTATAGTATTTGTTCTCTCTAAATTCTTACCTTATCCTATTTAACAAATAATCGTGGGGGATTTTGCATCATTTTTAAAAATGACCTCCTCTATCTTGTATACCATATTCGATACCGTTTTAAAAAAGGGAAAATCGTATTATTTTGGAAAAATGCATGAGTCTTACTGCAGCGGAAATCGGTTTGCAGCTTCCACATTTTGTATTCCTAAGTTGTTGTTCACATTTGTAATTTGGTACAGGAATATGCATTCTATTGCAATCACCCCTTTCATAATACCCCAGAAAGCAAATAGTCAAATTTGTTTAGGATTTGTCACCTCTTTGTCTACCCTCTTTGTTCTAGGGTTGGCCAAGAGATAACAGGCGCATACAGGGGTCCACTTCCAATCAAACATCCAGGATATAAAAAACTGATCGAAATGATTATTCCTCTATTATTACTTTCCTATATCTATGCCATTTTAATGCTATTCGCTTATTATGGTAATGCGTTGGAGCGACACTCTGTAAAAGCTACATATTTTCCTGAATGCGAAATTGACCTCGTCCTATAGTACTCTGGTAACACGTTTATGTAGAAAGTGTAAATTAATTTTCAAACCGTTTAAATTGTACTAAAAGAAATGACTGCCCTATTAGGTTATTATTCACAATTCCTATCCAAATGATTGACTTTAAAATTTCTTGTGGTGTTAGAGGACAATTTTTTCTGCACGTGGGGGTGTTTCTTCAAGCCCAGATGTGCAAGTTATGATGATTCGTAATGTCATTTCTGTTAAAGGTAGCTTTAAAATAGCTACTATTTATACTGGTGTTATATTAATTTTTTAATAGTTATTTGTTAACAAATTTACGTACTATCTCCAACTTTGTTTATTTTTATTTT